GTGAGGCTGAGAATACCCTCTACCCTCCGCCAGCAGCCATTAACTCTACAGAGTAACGGCTTATCTTTACCAAGAGCATCCATCGAATTAAGTCTCCCTCATGGTTACGCGTGTAGGACTACAAGTGACACCCTGCTCTATCAAGTCAGCCTATCAGGTTTGGTGGCTGACCCCGCTACAGCAGAGGGGATGATAATCCCAGACATCCTTACTCTGGATACCACTGAGCATCATTACACTCGCATCCCACCCAACAGTGGTACATGGTCTAGTAACATCACTAACCCTTGCTGCAGTAACATCTGCAGGTCAGAAGGATGCCTTACCTGTTGCTGTTGCTGACAATTTCCGAAAGGTATTCCCTGACCGATGGGACGACCCTCTTCGGTGGCACCGTTTTCTATGTGCCATTGGCTGTACGTAACCCTCCTAGCGCTTTACTCAAGGTGGTCACTTTTTGAGGAGTGATCGTAAGCTACACTCTTCACCTTAGTCATCACCATCCAACGCCTGGACTGTTACCTTCACATTTAATGGTCAGCTTACTGCTAACGACATAACTACGAATACCACGACATCCAATAACATGAGCAGTACCGTTATCGACTACTCCTTCAATGATTTACCCTTCCTACCACTGGAGCATGAGGATGATACATTCGCAGGCAATGTGGTAGGTTATACCCCATACCATAGTAGTGCTGCAGTATCATCTGTCTAGGGTGTACTCCAAAGTACGCTATTCGCTACTCTCCAACCTCTTACAAGACTAGGATGGGTGGAGGCTCAAACTCATTGGCTCGCCCTATTCTTCGAGGTAAGCTCGTTGGTATACGGGTGCAGTATGGCATCACATTAGGTAAAGTCCGAAATCGGCGTGGGCGGTACCATCATCCTCGAGGCCCCAATCGGGTTCGATTTTTCTAACCCTTGTCAAATCGATCGTATACCAGAGAGGTGGTCTCTCGCTCTGTATAACTTATGATCACGATGAGGGTGTAGATATATAACACCAGTTGATAGTAATACCGCCCACTTGCCTGGCAGTACTACTTGTATAGGGAGGAAGAGGGATGGTATGATGAAGAGGCTCCTCCTTATTGATAGCAATGATGATAATCAATGGCCTATTGCTGAAATCAAAGTAGCCTCTCCTCTCATCTATCCATAAAGGTGTAGTATACAATTAGGTATCTGGATTCATAGAGGGTAACAGTAATCGATATGCTCTGATCATTAGGACTACCAACCCTCATTCATGGGAGGTGTATCAACACTATCAATGGCGCTT